ATTGGCAAACTTGGACAACGTGTTTTCCACCCCCTCGTCCAAATCGCTGATGAAGATGTTGGACAGTGTAGGCCCCCGGACCGAGCCCTGGGGGGCCCCTACTCTTCACATCCTGCCAGGTCGAGCGTGACTCATCCACCACCACTCTCTGGGTGTGCTCCATCAACCAATTTTTGACCCATCCAACTGTGTAGGCATCAATGCCACAGTCACTCAGTTTATTAATGAGAATGGGATGAGAGACAGTGTCAAAGGCCTTCTTAAAGTCCAGAAAGACTATGTCCACGGTGGCGCCATCATCCAGGGATTTAGTTATCTGGTCATAAAAGGCCATCAGGTTGGTCTGGCAGGACCTACCTTTGATGAACCCATGTTGATTTCCCCTGGGCATGATCTCCCCTGCCCGCCCCTCACAGATGTGCTCCTTGATAATTTTTTCAAGGATTTTCCCCAAGACCGATGTGAGGTTTATGGGCTTATAGTTTCCTGGGTCCTCCTTTCTCCCATTCTTATAGATGGGGACCACATTAGCTAGTTTCCAATCTCCGGGCACCTGGCCCGTGGACCACGATTGCTCATACAGCTGGGCCAAGGGCACAGCAATGACTCCCGCCAGCTCCCTCGACACCTGTGGGTGGAGGGCATCAGGGCCCGCAGATTTAAAAACATCCAGCCCTTCCAGAAGATCCCTAACTACTTCTGCGCAGACCCAATGCCTGGCAGTGCTATCCTCAAGATTGCCCCTACCTGTGGTGGGAGAGCTGTCCTGGTCCCTGTCCAAGAAAACAGAGGCAAAGAACTTGTTAAAGATTTCGGCTTCCTCGTCTGGCATAGCCACAGGATTACCAAGCTTTTGTGTCAGTGCTTTCTTCAGGCAGTCAAGCAGGGCGCAGCAGGATCAGACTTAGGCACCTTTAAATAGGGGGAGGGGGTGGGAAACAGAGGTCCAGAGTAGGGGAGTGGCTTGTTGGAGGTATGCAGCACACCCCTGGCAGGGACCCAGGTGTCCTGAGCCCCAGCACTGGTCCTGCCCCCTGTATCTTGTACATAGCCTCATAGCTGTGCAGTAGATTTGGCCCCCTTCATGTGAAGTTGGTGCCTGGCAGCAGGTTCCAACAGGCAGGCTGTACTGGAGCCCTAATGTCTTCTCGAATTAAAGAAAACCCAGCCCAGAGCCCCCAGATCCCTCTGCCAGCTGAGTGACCCATCTCCAGCTCCGCAGGGCAGAAGTGCACTGAGGCATTAAAGGACAAGTAAAATCGTAACTCTTTAAAATGTCTTTTCCTTGACTAGCAAAACACTTCCTCAGAAACAGGGTCTTTAAAAACCAGCCTTATCCAGCCAACCTCCCCTATTTATCAGGGTCGATGGCTCATCTCCACCCCAGAGTGGGGACAGGGCTGGGGAGTGTGTGGATGTGCTTGCATGCATGTGTGTGCAGCCCTCAACAGCTCACCAAAACTCTTTAAGTGTCTCTCCAGCCCAAATAACTGTCTGCCCCTGATTTGGATCCTTTCTCCCTTGGAGAGTCTAAAATTACCATACCCTAGATGGCAGCCTTGTACTGGGATCCCCAGCAGTGGCCAAGCTGCTGCCAGCTCCTCTGTCTTCTCTGAAATAACTCTTTTCTTTCAGGGTTTGGCCAGAGAGGAATGAAATAGGAGACTGTTGACTGTGGGATTTCTCCTCAGCTATTGCTCTCTCATTGGCTTTCCTCCATTCCCCTGCAGCACATGTGACTGCTTCTGTATCTAAGTGAGGAAGTGCAGTGGTAGAAGAACTTAACTGGTTGATTCTGGACGAGGATGCTAGCAAGGATAGTGGAGAGGAACTGACAGCAAGTGATGATTGTGGTTGGACTCATGCTGCCCATGTGGCTAATGCAGGCAGTAATCAGCAATAATTATTCAGATAATGGCCAGGGGCTGGAGGTGATTCTTGGTGTTCTTCTGTCTGGTCTGCCAAAAGAGACCCCTTGAACCCTTTTGTGGGGGTTGGTCTCAAGGAGCATCTTTCATTTAGGACAGCTCTTCTCAGCCTCACTAGACTCAAGGCATCCCTTGGAAAATGTCAGCTCTTAGCTTTCACTCTATAGTCATTTTTTGACTGTAGAAAAATGATAGAGCAGTTCTTACTTGCAGAGAACTCAGAAAAATGACCACAGGTCAGGATGCTTTGGCCTCTCTGGATTCCTGTTTGAAATATGTGGGTTTATTTTATGTATTGTGTTTGGGTGCTGGCTGTACTAATATTGTGCTGCACCCTGCTTGTAAGGGTCTCATGGCACACCAGGACGCTGCCATCCCCTGGTTGAGAGTCACTGCTTTAGGGAGTGGTTCCTGGAATGGATATGGATAAACCCTTGCAGCATGTATAATGGGTTGAGTGGTGAGAGCTAATCGTACTCAACATTTCACATGTCAGAGTCTGACCTGTAGCACTAAATCAACCACTTTGTTTCTGCAGATCCACGACATCTTCCACATCTTCCCTCAGGCCCATGAAGACGAGATTGAGTTTATCTTTGCTTCTGAATGTAAAACAGGATTCCGGCACTTGTACAAAATCACGTCAGTGTTGAAGGAGAGCAAATACAAGCGATCATGCGGAGGCCTTCCTGCTCCAAGTAACCACAACACTGTTCTCTGTTTCATTGGGTATTCACAGCTGAATACTGGTGAAGTAACCACAGCCTGTTTCCACAGTATTAGAAGGGTCTTTTTCTCCCATTGGCAAATTTTGGCCCCCATCCAGTGAATCCCATGCCTGCTCCTATTGACATCAGTAGTGCTATACACTCGCTTAAAGCTTCATGAGGTTCTGTAGGGGCAGGAAGGCAGATAAATCTGTATTAACAACACGGCGTGTTTAATCAACACAGCATGATTCTTTTTAATTAATTAAAAGGGAGATTTGTGGGGTGGTTTGGATTCCTCAGGTTAACTACCATAGCAGTTGTGTGTCCTGTCTCCCTACACAGATTAAGTATAGAGATTGAAATGACTGAATAACCTTTAGACCTTCTGGAGAAAAGTGTGCCTGAATGCCATATTTAGATCTGTGCCCTACCTGACCAGAGCTAAAATTCAACCTATTCCTAGTAGGGCAAACTAGGTAAATGCCAGCCCAAAAGCGTTCATAGAGCTGTACCCGCCTCTGCAGGCATTTGCAATGCAGTTGTATGGGCAGAGAAATTAACAGAAGAAAAATATTGGCATCTGCTGCAAAGATAGGTGTGCTCAGGGACCCTGTACATCTTTTCATAGTGTATGTCCTTTGATTTAAAATGCTATGTTGTGGTCTGTGCCTGGGTGCAATTCATTTACTCACTCCATCACAATGGCATGCTGAAACACATGCACCTGATTTTGCTGTTGATAGAATCCCAGTTTCATGCAGTTGATCTTTCAGAGGGATATGTTTGAAATGAAATGAGTTATTCCCTTCATGTTAAAAGCCTAGAAAACTGTACTGGTGCCACTGATGGTGTCTGGCTTGTCTTTCTACCTCTGGTGGAAAGGTGGAATGCAACATCTCCCTTTAAATTAAAGCTGCGTGTTATGTTCGTGAGCAGATGTGAAAACTTTGATGTTTTGGGATTGTTACTTCCTGATTGGATTTTGCAAAATGTGTTTAATGTGGTGGAGCCACTTGAGATACCATTCAGTTTGAGCGAAAATGACTCCATGCGAGCAAAAATAATACTGCTTTTCCAGCCACATTCCTGATTTTTGACTCCCCTGATCTTACAGATTGCGTTGATAAGGCTGCATGTGTTTCAGTGCAGAGACAACCACTTTGTGCAAATGACAAATGGCAAAAGCCTTTGTTGGGAGTGAGGCAGGGGGGAGCGGGTCATTTCAGTAAAGGGCTAC